GGTTACCCCCTTGCTGGCCAGCTGGGAAGGCGGGTTGGTGCTGTTCTCCGGGGGCTGGAGCGGGCCAGTTGTGCCGGTACTGACCCCTGAACCCAGGAGCTGGTGCAGAATGCGGACGATGCCGGCGCTAATGAGGTCGTGTTTGTGTCTGATGAGCGGCAGTTCGACGTCAGCGGTGGAGGTCTGGAGGGCACCCAAGGTGAGAGGTGCAAAGGACACTAGGAAAGACTGGACAGAGCACAGGGGTGGCACTGGCAGGTACTGGGAGGGTTTGGGGAATCCTGGTGAAGAACTGAAGAGGGATCAGAGTGTACTGGGGAAACTGGAGCCAATTAGGTGTTCTGGGATGTGCTGGGGGCACTGAGGGTACTGGGAGGACACAGTGGCACTGAGAGGGGTTTTGTGGGACTGGAGTGGGCCTGAGATTATGGGGGCACTGAGTGTGGTTTGCAATCCTCCTTACGTGTCCCAAGTCTCCCCTAACCCATGGTCCTGACCTCGCAGGCCCAGCCCTCCTGGCCTACAATGATGCCCTGATGTCCCCCCGGGACTGGACGGGGCTTCTGCGCCCTGGGGTGTCGCACAAGCGGAAGGACCCCAACACTGTGGGGCGCTTTGGCCTGGGCTTCAGTTCTGTCTACCACCTCACCGGTGAGTTGGCACTGGGGCCTCAGCTGGAGGCATGGGCTGTACTGGATGCACTGAACTACACTGCTGGGGAGTACTGGGGGGCACAGACGGGGTGAAAAATGGAGGGCTGTATCTGAAGTAAGGAAACCTGGAGCACCGAGAGGCTGGGTGGCAACGGAGAGCAGGGCTGCAGGGGCAAACTGTGGGAAGACTGATGAACTGGGATTAATTCTGAGATTACGGGAGGCGCTGTGGGGTTGAATTTGAGGATGCTGGGTGGGCACTTTGGGCACTGGTGGGTTGGGATGGTCTGGGGAGGCAGTGGTGACCTTGCCATCCCTTTGGCCTCATGGTTCCCATGTTCCCAGACTTACCAGGTGTGCTGAGCCCGCCGTCCTTGGGTGTGCTGGACCCCGAATGCCAGGTGCTACCAGATGCCGGTGCCCGCTGGGACGTCTCTGCAGCCCAGGACCTTCCTGGCCTTTTTGAGCCCTTCTGGGCTGGGCTGGAAGCTGTGGGACAGCACCGTGGGTCTGCCCATGGCACCCTCTTCCGCTTCCCCCTCTCCGCCGGCAACCCTCGGGAATCGCTGCAGGGGTCTCCAATCCTGAGCGCCTCCGTAGCCTCCTCCAGACTTTCCTCACTGAGGCCCCTCTTGCCCTCCTCTTTCTCCGCCATGTCCGACGTGTTGCCCTATACCATGTGGCCCCTGATGGGGTTCAGACCCTCATGGGGACCCTTGTGGCATCCTCTCAGCCTCTCCCTGTCCCTGGGCCATCAGGGGATGACAGGCTGAGTCTGACATGGTGCCTGGTGGCCCTGCATGGGGATGGGGTGGCAGACGGGAGTGAGTGGCTGGTGGCCACAGGTAGGACCACGAAGGGGCCAGCTGTGGCACTGGGTGCAGGGCTGGGGTGCTGCCCTGAGCTGAGCTTGGCTTACCCCCTCCATGGGTCCTGCCGAGGGCAGCTGTGCTGCTTCCTACCCCTGCCAGCCACAGATGAGACAGCCACAGGACTACCTGTCCATGCCAGTGCCCCCTTCGCCCTCTCTGATGATCGCCGCCACCTCCGCTGGCCCAAGGAGGGTGAGGAGGGTGAGGAAGATGCCCGCTGGAATGCCCTGCTGCTCCTTGGCCTCTTGCCACAGGTCTACAGCCACATGGCTGCTGTGGCCACATCTCTGCCTGGCACAGATGCCTACACCATCTGGCCAGACCCTGAGCGCATGTCGAGCTGTGGCCGCAACCGCAGCTTGGTGACCCAGGTCTGCCAGGAGCTGGCAGCTGCCCGCACCCTGGGGCCAGCCACGGAGGGGGCCGTAGGGCGGCTGCGGGCCTGTGAGTCTGTGCTGCTGCCGGAGACTGCAGGGGACATGGCCACACGGCGGGTGGTCCAGGCCTTGCTGGTGGCAGCCGGGGAGCCA